TTTTTTTTTTTTTTTTTTTTTTTTTTTAAAGATGACCGGTTAGGGGGATCTCAACCCTTGGCTTGGTGTTGTCAGCACCATGCTCAGCCAGTGAGCCAACCGGCCATCCCTATATGGGATCCGAACCCGCGGCCTTGGTGTTATCAGCACCGCACTCTACCGAGTGAGCCACGGGCCGGCCCATTTCATTCGTTTTTATAGCTGAGTAGTATTCCATTGTGTAGATTTACCACAATTTCCGTATCCACTCATCACAAAGCCATTTGCTCAAGGTCGTCCTGCTATTGAGGGACTTGAGCCAGAGTTTGAACCGAAGTACATCTAATTTTGAGGTCTGGGCTCTAAATCGTATTCTGCTTCAGATCCAGGTAGAACATGGGCTCCCTGGGTTCTGAGCACTAAGTTAGGGCTAAGTGGAGAGCCCAGACATGCTGACAGCCAGAATCCTGTGCTTCTCCCTTACCCCTGCAGAAGATTGACCCTGAGGTGGCCGCCTTCCTGCAGAAGCTGCGAAGTAGAGTGCAGATCGGCGTGGTGGGTGGCTCCGACTACTCTAAGATTGCTGAGCAGCTGGGCGAGGGTGATGAAGGTAGGAGTGGGCCAGAGCCAGTTTCAGTTGGGGTGTGGTGGGGAGTGGGGAGTTCTGGAGATCCCTGGGCACCTTCAAAGACCCAGTCCTGCATCTGTGGGGCAGAGGAAATAGAGAGGGAGTGGCCAGATGGTTCACTCACTGATTCAACAAACATTTAGTGAGCACCTACTATTGCTAGGCATGCTCTAGGCTGTGGAGAAACAGCTGGGAACAAAACAGGCAGAATCCTGCCCTTATGTGGTTTGCATTCTCATTTCTCCCTGCTAAGTCTTGATTTCCTCATCTTTAAAGTGGGCATAATCAATCATGAATATCTCCCTATCCTGTATGTGTCTCCAGCTCCACCAACCCACCATAGTCCAGGTGATCACCTGTCTAGGGCCCTGCGACACCCCCGCCCACTCCAGCTGCTTCTTAACGCTGCCAGAGCTGAAAACCCCACTCTCCCCTGCAGCCAGCACTGAGAACACAGTGATGGAAGCTGTAAAATGGAAGCCCCTGTACAGAGAGGCTGTGGGAGTGCTGCGGACTCCTGGAAGAGGCGGGAGCTAGATCTTGGAGGAGAGGGGGAAGGAGAGGGAATGTTCCAGGCAGAAGGTCCTGCATGTGAGCAGAGGCTTAGAGGTGTGACTGGCTTGTTGGAAAGAAAACAAAGCTGCAGAAAGAGAGGAGGCTGGAGAAGCAGGTTTGAGGTGAAGAAATGGGCTTCAAATGCCAAACCAAGGACTGTGGGCTTCATCTCTCTTTACTTGCCTCTGGGATAACGGTTAGACCTGGTCTCACACTCTTTCTTTCTCCCCTGGCCTCTGTGTGGCCCCAAAGTCATCGAGAAGTTTGATTATGTGTTTGCTGAGAACGGGACGGTGCAGTATAAGCACGGACGACTGCTCTCCAAGCAGGTCAGTGCCCCCTAGGGCTAGCCAGGGGCACCCGCTTTTCTGCAGTGGGACAGTCTACGGTGCCTTCTGTTCCGGGCTGGGGAAGAGACGCTGTGTCCATCCCAGGGTCAGGCAACTCGGGCCACACTCAGAGCCCTGTGTTTCTTGTGTAGACCATCCAGAACCACCTGGGGGAGGAACTGCTGCAGGACTTGATCAACTTCTGCCTCAGCTACATGGCCCTGCTCAGACTGCCCAAGAAGCGGTGAGGTCCCTCCCAGCCTGGTCTCTGGAACCTGGGGCCTGAGGGAGGAAAAGTTGGGTCCTTCAGATGGAACCTAGAGATAATTGGGCTCCTGATTTCTTGGTGGGTGGGTTCTTGTCTCCTTTGAAGTCCAAGGAGACTGTGGTCGCAGATCGGGCTGGAGTTGAATTCAAGGCCATTTTCGTTCTCTCGGGCTCCCTGCCCTCCCCCCCTCCCCCATCCTCTGTCATCACCAGGGGAACCTTCATTGAGTTCCGGAATGGCATGCTGAACATCTCTCCCATCGGCCGGAGCTGCACCCTGGAGGAGCGGATCGAGTTCTCCGAACTGGACAAGGTGCCACCAACTGTACAACTGTAGGCCTGTAGGACCTCAGTCACTCAACTTGTCTGAGCCTTTGTTTTCTCATCAGTGAACGGCCGGAGCTGCACCCTGGAGGAGCGGATCGAGTTCTCCGAACTGGACAAGGTGCCACCAACTGTACATCTGTAGGCCTGTAGGACCTCAGTCACTCAACTTGTCTGAGCCTTTGTTTTCTCATCAGTGAAATGGATGGGGGGGTAGGTGCTCAGATTTAACTGATATCCTTTTGGGCACCTACCGGGTGCCACGGTTGTAGGCACATCTGCATCTTTCCAACGCTACTGGTTTCCCTTCCAGTGACCAGCACCACCAGCCAACAGCATACCCAGGCCAACACCTAGGGCATCATTTCCACCTTCCCACCCACATCGGGTCCAACAACGGTTCCTGTTCCTTCATCCTCCAGAGTCAGTCTCAACTCTGCATCTGCAGAACTGAGACCCCACTCTGCCGACTAGACCCTGCCAGTCTGCTCTCCAGTAATGCCATTGAGAACCTTTTAAACACATCTGCCCGTGTCCACTTCCTGCTCACATCCTTCCATGGCTCCCCAATGCCACCTGGACAATATCCCAGCAACCCCATCATGGTGCCTCAAGCCCTGAGGGGTCTGCCTGGCTCTGGCTCACCTCTCCAGCCTCCTCTCTGCGCCCTTCAAGATCCACTTCCTGTTCCTGGAACACACCAAGGGCCTCTCACCTGTTGGTGTGCTGTCCCCACTAAACCTTGACATGCATCTTGCTTGTCCCCCCACCGTCCACCCCCGTCCTGTCAGGGATGGAGCGAGTTCATCCATCCAGGCCTTCTCACGCAGGTCCGTCTGTGTTCCCTCTCTGACCTGACAGCTGCTCTCCCACCTTGCTCTCTGCTCCAGCCTTGGCCTCTTTGCTGATTCTAGAGATGACAGTGTCCCACTTCAGGGCTGTGCTTTCTAAACCTTGACATGCATCTTGCTTGTCCCCCCACCGTCCACCCCCGTCCTGTCAGGGATGGAGCGAGTTCATCCATCCAGGCCTTGTCACGCAGGTCCGTCTGTGTTCCCTCTCTGACCTGACAGCTGCTCTCCCGCCTTGCTCTCTGCTACAGCCTTGGCCTCTTTGCTGATTCTAGAGATGACAGTGTCCCACTTCAGGGCTGTGCTTTCTGCCCAGAGCACACTCCCCTGAGACAGGGCTCATCCTCTCACCTACTTCCAATCTGCTCCAATGTCACCTTTTCACTGGAGCCTTCCTGGGCATCTCATTTAATATCGCACCCCCAGCACTCCCTGCTCCTCTGCCCATTTTATTTCTTCCCAAGAGTCCATCACCACCCTCCAGTACACTATGCCATCTACTTTGTAAATCTTAGTCTTCATCTGTCTCCCCCATCAAAGCTGTAAGCTCTGTCAGGGCAGGAACCTTTTTTTTTATTTTTTAAAAGATGACCGGTAAGGGGATCTTAACCCTTGACTTGGTGTTGTCAGCACCACGCTCTCCCAAGTGAGCAACTGGTCATCCCTATATAGGATCTGAACCTGCGGCCTTGGTGTTGTCAGCACCACACTCTCCCAAGTGAGCAACTGGTCATCCCTATATAGGATCTGAACCTGCGGCCTTGGTGTTGTCAGCACCACACTCTCCTGAGTGAGCCACAGGCCGGCCCCTGGGAATCTTTTTTTTTTGGCAGCTGGCCAGTACAGGGATCCGATGTTGGTGTTACAAAGCAGTACTCTAACCCACTGAGCTCACTGGCCAGGCCTTTTTAAAATTTTCTTCCTTTTTTTTTTTTAGGGCAGGAGTTTCTTTAATTTTTTTCTTTTTTTCTTTTTTTTGGTGACTGGGTAGAACACTGGAACTTGGTGTTATCAGCAGCATGCTCTAACCAAGTATGCTAACTGCAGCTCACGGCAGGGATTTCTGCTGCTTGATCACTGTGCCTGGAGCTTAGCAAGTGTTCCAGAAACACTTTTTGAATGAATGGAATACATAGTGGTATCCCCATTTTACACATGAGGAAACGATGGCTCAGAGGGGAAGTGACTCACCCAAGGTCACTTAGGTAGTTGGTTGCAGAGTAAAGATGTGGTTCTGCCCGCTACCCTCTGGTGCTTCCCTGCGGCTGGGTGGGGCCCAGCCTCCCAGCTTACGGCTCCCACCCCACCTCTCCCCTGTGTC